TTGTAACAGACGCGCCTTGACACGTCGTAATATGACTCATTTGAACGCGTCAAAAATGAAAAGTAGTTCTCAAGCGCGCTTGGACGCGTTTATTGAAACAAAATGTAACAGACGCGCCTTGACGCGTCGTAATATGTCGCGTTTAAACGCATCTAAGGCAACGACCTGTAAAGTCGCGTTTAGACGCGCTTTTGCATAAACGTTTGAATTGTCGCGGTTAAACGCGTCATATTGTAGCGCGTCTAGCCGCGTTGGAGGTACTGTACTTAAAAGAACGCGTTAAGACGTGTTGTTTTTGCCAGAGTTTTTCAGACGCGTCCTGACGCGCTTAGTATAGCCGCATTTAGACGCGTTTTTTTATAACTACTATATAAAACGCGACTAAACGCGTTTTTTCAAGCAGAAGTTCAAAAACGCGTTTAGTCGCGTTCGTATGAGGCGCGTTTAAACGCGTTTGCTAGGTTTTCCCCAAAATACCCGCGTTTAGACGCGTTTCTTCAGACGCACCCAAGTTACATGGGTTTTCTGTTACAAAAACTTTATTGCTCCATTTTAAGTTTTTAAGACCGTCAATATTTGTAAATTGAAAGCATTTATTTAATGGACTTATCTTTGGATAATCACGCTCTCCCTTCAGTCCATTTTCTTTAAAATTTTGTTCAAAGACAAGATCAAGATTCCAACTGACTTCTACTGTTGATGGCATTTCTTTTTCAGGCAGTTTGTTTTCTATTCTTTCTAACATTGTTTTCATCTTAAGTAGATCAGCATGATTTTCATTTTCTTGAAATTCGTCAAAGGACAATTCCAAAGGAATACCTTGATCTTTTAAACTTCTTAACTCTGTCTTCAAGTCCCCCGTAAAAGTCACCTAAATAACTACCCATTTTTTTCAATAAAACAAGTCTAGGGTTTCGTAACTGAGGAGTTTTAGCATATAAATCTTCTATTCCGTCAGGAACACTACTGTCACATTGCGTTATAAGAGATTGAAGAGGAATATTTCTACTTTTCTTTTGATACTCAAGAGATCGATTTTTAATTACGTATTTAAATTTTTCTATCATAACTGGATACAGATCTTTTTCATTTTTTATAATCGTATTATGAGTAACCCATGTTAAGACATGCTTACTGGTTACTTCCTTTAATTCAATTCCATTTATTTTTGCTATTTCTGCTGTAATTTCTCCAGAACTCCATAACAAAATCGACTGTTTAAAGTCAAGATCTCTAAGACGTATAGTGGCTTGCAATAAGTTATCTTTGTTCGTACTCTTTCCAAGTGTTTCCACGTGCAGTTAATGGTAGTTTCAAATCAGTTCCACGAGTATGAACTTCATCCAAATAAACAAATAACTTTTTGTTATCTATATGACAAGTTGATAAGGGTAACTTTTCTTCATTTCTTAAAATAACCATAATTTTATTATTTTCATCAGAAAAATAGACAACACCATCAAACCTTTTATTTATCTTTCTTATCAAGTATTAGATACATCGAAATTACTCATTTCAACAATAATAGCGCCTGAATCAATTAAAGTATAACACTCTTTTTCATTGTTCACACACTCACATACTTGAGCTAGAAAATTTTCACTGTTGACTATTTCTTTAGACTGATATGTACTATTTATTTCTCATGATAGAATATGTAACATCTTTCCATTTGTTTCTTTCTGAGAAGGCAACCTTTTTGGAATAATCGATTCTGGCATTATATCATTACGATCATCAGTACCAGAAAATCCTTTTGTTTCTCCTTCACCGGCTAAAGTGTGAGCATTTCCCGTCAGTTTTCTTTTATAATACTTAGCATCATGCGGAAACGTAAAGCTACTTAAGTAATATTCAACAAAATCAAAGTTCCTACAAAGGTAAATATGAATTTTCTTGACCCTTTCTTCATCTTCAAGGTCAAGTGTTTTAAAAGAGTTTAACCACGATGGAAATGTGGCATTCTCTTTCTGATTGTGTTTATCAATCCAATCTTTGTTTTCTTGAACCTGGTGTTTTAATAACTTAGTTTTAACAGCGTTTAAAAGCGATGGGAATGTAGCATTCTCGTTCCGATTGTGTTCTTCAATCCATTCTTGATGTTCGTCAGTCCATTCTTTGTGTAAGCCGATCCATTCTTTGTTTTCTTGAACCCATTGTTTTAATAACCTGTCTTTATCCTGTTCATACTTTAGTTTAATCAATTCTTTTTTGACTTGTTCTAAACTCAATCCTCTATACAAATAACTGATTATAGTAAAACCAATCATCACATCTGGATGACTAAATTCAGAGTTTTCCGATGGTAAATCTTTTCCTTTAAATGGGACAGCAATTTCTTTTTCGCTTTTGTTAGACAATCCATATTCAACTCTGTAACGATAACTCATGACATGGTAAAGTGGTTCATGAGATAACCAAGCTTTCGCTAATAGAAAGCTATTTAACATTTCTTCACTGTTTGTTTTTAATAATTTAACTAGTTTCTCTTCTTTTTCTTGTGAACATTTTCCTTGTATAAACGCTTCATAGCTTCCATAGTTCTCACCTTTTTCATCTATTACATCAGTGTCTTTTTCGTTAAATCTTGAACGTAAGGCGTTACAGACTTTTTGAACAAGAAGCGGTCTAATATGCTTTACAAAAAATTCATGTTCAACAAAACGAACAAGAGGAATTCTTCCTCCAATTTCATTACTAGGCATAAAATTTTCCTGAAATACAAGCGGACAGTCATTTCGTTTTGAGGATAATTTTAAACTAGTGGCTAAATCTTCATCGGAAAAAATTAATTTAAATAATAGAAAAGGTATTTCCCAATGAATTTTTCCGCCATCTAAAGTCTTGTTTAATCCTAAGGTTTAATTTAATTCTTTTCCATGGCGTAAAATTTCATCTGATTCATCAAGAATATCAAAGAATTTAAATTCATCAATAGAATAGAGTAATCCTATTTGTTGTTCAAGATGAGTCTTAAGTTGTCTTGAATTGTACCATAGGATCACAAAAGTAGCATTAACATTAGGACGTGCGTGATATTCTTTTTGTGAAGAAATATTGCTGATTTCATGATCCACTTGTTCTTGAAATGTGTTATATCCTTCGGATGGATATTTTAATATTTTGTTATTACTGTTTATGTAGCCTAATGTCTCCAATGCTTGTCTTAAAACTACTTGAAACTCTGTTAAAATATACGGATTTTTATTGTTCGCTAAATGTGTGTATTTATGATGATCATTATGTCTTTCCCAATCAAAAAGATCATCTGCATCTTTTGACTGTAAATATTCTAAAAATGTTTCTTGTTTTTTCAGTTGAAAACATAATCGTTGTTCAGGTGTTACTAATAAAACGTGTTTTCTATTTTTACATTCAGTAAGCATTTCTGTAATCTTTTTAACATTTCCAGTGTCAAATACAACCTCTCTTGAAAATGGCATAACATAAATTTTCTTCTGTAACAAACCTCTAAATTTATTTCTTAATAATTCTTGCATCACTCCCATTAATAATTCTAAACAATTAATTCTAGAAATATTTTTTCCATCCGCCAACATTTGGTTTAGGATAACTAGAATAACCGATGTTTTACCTTCTCCCATATTTAACTGATAAATACTATTTTCTTTGTCTTCCAACATAGTTTTTAAAAGATCGTATTGAGTATCACGAATTAAAAGACTATTCTCCGTCTCGAACAACAGCCATGCAGGATATTCTTTCTCATTATAACTTCTCTCCATTAAAAGATTCGTAATGATATTTTGTAACATTCTTTCTTTTTCGTCTTTATCAACGGTCTGATCTAAAACTATATATTTAGAAATCAATGAAATAACCCGTTTAATCTTTTGGATAAGAGTCTCTTGAATCAAATAACATTCGATTTTCTCATAAAATATATCTTTTTGATCCATTATGAAAGGATTGAACTCTTCAATTTTCTACAGTTTTAGAATCTTTTATTTCTTCTATTTTGATTTCGGAAAAAACTTCTCCATCTAACAACAATTGAAACTGTTTGTTAAGCTGAGCGGTCTGAGAGTTTAATAAAATTTTTAATTCGAAAATTTCTTTATTTAACTTTTCATAGACTAAAATACTAATGTCTTTTACCTTAGCGATTGATTCTAAAATAGCTGGAATTTTCTTTGTTGTTAATCAAATCCTCTAGGACACTTTCGTTATCTTCTAATTTGTTGCGCCATGTGATTGCTGTTTTCCTTAAATTCTTTTTTAATGGATCATTTAGAATTTTTTCTACTTGACATTTTAGTGAGTTTAAATCAACAGGACCAGATAGAATATTTATCTTCCTTAGTTCATTGTTGATTTCTTCAATTTTTTTGTCTAAATCCAGCATACTATTCCTGATTTCTTCCAACTCATTCTTAGGAACACAATTTTCTAAATTTTCTTCTCTAATCCACCGAACCAAATCTAAGAATAAATCATTTTTTATTTTCTCCAGGCCACCTTCTAGACAAGCAAGTACATCATGATGTTCT